ACTCCGTGACAACTTCACAGCCAATATTCTGGAGAACCCCAGCGACCAGCCAGCCCGACCCCTCCTGGGTCTGCACAGGGATCTGGGCCATAGGCAGGACGAGGGCCTCTATCCTGGGGACCTTCACCCAGGTCACACAGCCCCTCAGCATCTGTGCTGCACCACCCGGGGCCCGACCCCAGTTCTCTCTGTCCCAGGGTCTTGCTGTCCCAGGCACGTCTCCCCATTGACCACCCCCTGAGCCCAGGAGACTCCATGCAGACTTATAGGCCGGGGCAGGGGTGGGAGCCTGTCCACCACCCCACCCATCTATCTGAGAGTGTCTATGGCCTTGGAACCCAGGAAGGGGGCTAGACACAGAGCCTTTCTGCAGGGCCAGCCTGGTTCCAATTGCCAGCCTTCCCAAAGGCCGAGACAGGCATCTACATCTCCCCCCTCCTGAACCTGGGACAGCAATTTAGTGTCGAGGTTCCCTGCGGAATTGGCACCCCGGGGTCTATCCCCACTCACCCCTGGGCGAGTCTGTCACAGACTCACAGATCGTGCCCACTCTTGGCCCATGCGGTCCGTGGGGGGAACCCCCTTCAGTGAGACAGCCCTTCTTGGGGGTCCACTCTCTCTCTGGGGTCAGGCCCCTCCACCTCCTGGAGCCGCACCTCTCTGAGCCTTAGCACGTCTGTCTCTGCCGTGAGCCCCCCCAGGGAGTCCACTTGCTCTGGACCTCCGGGGCCTCCACCCCCAAAGGGGACGATGCCCCCCCCTCCCCCGCCCTGGAGCGACTCTCAGCCAGCGTAAAACAGGAGGGTTTATTGAGCATTTGAACCCAGCACAGGAAACTCGCAGGGCCTCAGGCCTGGCCTCCCTCAGCCCAGCACATCCTAGTCTCTCTGCCTCCAGGTGGGCTCTGCCTGCTCCCCCTCTCCAGCCCAGAGCCCCCCTGCTCCCAGCTGGGCATCTGAGATCCCCGGCCCCAGGCCCCGCCTCTGTCCATTGTCTTCTCTCCAGGTAAACAGGGTCGTAAACCGGGGCCTCCTCTCCTGCTTCTCCCTCTGGCTGGAACCGGCTGGTTAGGTCACTGGGTCCTCACTCCGCAGCCCATTGTCCTCCCACTGGCCAGAACCGGCTGTGACTTCTGAGCTGGGTCTCTGGGTTGGGGTCTCAGGTCACCAGTCACTGGGGTGTCCATCCTCCAGGCCATTGGCTGGTGTCCCAAGTTCCCTCTCCGGTCCTCTGTAACAACAAACTCCCTCTCCCCTCATCTCCTTAAACCAGTAACACCCAGGGACACTGAGTCCCACCCCCTCTCCATGCAAACCATTGGAAAACAAGGAAAAAACAAGAAAATTCCCCACTTCGTCACAACATGACTCTCAGAAAACAGAAGGTTTATTAGGTGACAGGAACGCGGCGTAGGGCAGAGCTTGTTAGCACAGAAATCAGTGACTTTCAGCCAAGTCCACCTTGAGGGGAGGGGAACCCAGAGCCAGGGCTCTGCCCTCCCCCTGCGCCCCCAGACAGACTCGCTTCCAGCTGCCTGGCCCCTGCCCGGCCCCTTGCTCCTCCTCCGGCCTTTGTCTCGCTTCGGGCCAAGAGTCACCTGGTCGCATCCCCCTCCTGGGTCTCAGGTTACGAAGGGGCACCAATAGCATCCCTGCAGGCAGCTGGAGCAGCCCCCGCAAGTCACCCCCCCTTATTCCCACCTCCTAGACCAGGGGTCTCAAACTCAAATGACCACGAGGGCCACATGAGGACTAGTGCATTGACCCGAGGGCCGCATCACTGACACCCCCCACCGCCGGCTGCCTCTGGCCCCGCCCCCACTCCACCTCTTCCATGGGGCCCCGCCCCTGCCCCACCTCTTCCCACCCCTTCCCCGCCCCATTCCAACCCCTTCCCCGAAGTCCCCACATAACGTTGACCCCAGGGGGTGCAGGAGGTGTGAAGGGTGCGGCAGGGGGCTCAGGGCAGGGAGTTGGTGGGTGGGGTGCAAGAGGGTGAGGGGTGCGGCAGGGGGTTGGGGTGCAGCAGGTGGCTCAGGGCAGGGACTGCAGGAGGGGGTGCGGCAGGGGACTCAGGGCAGGGAGTTGGGGTGCAGGACGGGTGCAGATGTGGCAGGGAGTTGGGGGGTGGGATGTGGCAGGGGGCTCAGGGCAGGGAGTTGGGGTGCAGGCAGGGTGTGGGATGTGGCAGGGGGCTCAGGGCAGGGAGTTGGGGTGCAGGCGGGGTGTGGGATGTTGCAGGGGGCTCAGGGCAGGGAGTTGGGGTGCAAGACGGGTGCAGATGTGGCAGGGAGTTGGGGGGTGGGATGTGGCAGGGGGCTCAGGGCAGGGAGTTGGGGTGCAGGACGGGTGCAGATGTGGCAGGGAGTGGGGGGGTGGGATGTGGCAGGGGGCTCAGGGCAGGGAGTTGGGGTGCAGGCAGGGTGTGGGATGTTGCAGGGGGCTCAGGGCAGGGAG